AAACATAAGCAATTTTTCTTAGTACCATATACACCAATGTCTTAAGGGAACCGAGATAAAGGGCTCTGCAACTTCAAAAATATCTGAATACTGTCCTGTAGCCGCGACATCCGCCAGTGGTACTAGGACATTAGCTCAACCCGACGACAGAACTGGGTCGGGGTCAGTGTGTCAGGTCAGTATGCAACCTTCAACCGACGGTTACGGTCACGCGTGTAGAGATAATCGCGTAGACGTGAATCCCTCAACAAGCACTAGAGACGTGGATAGAGAAGTGCAAGTATCAAAAACTAAAGTGTGGCAAACGCTGCGTGAAGAGGGGCTGTATCCGTTTCACGTCCAACGTGTACAAGCCCTTCAACCTGACGATTTTCCAGCAAGAGTGCGGTTTTGTGAGTGGTTGTTGCATCAACATGACAATAATCCGGACTTTTTGAAGTGCATATTAGTGACAGACAAATCTACGTTCACGCGTAATGGGGTGAATAACTTTCGCAACACTCATGTTTGGTCAATAGAAAATCCGCACGCTGTCCGTCGGGCACATTTTCAACAAACATTTCCAGTGAATGTTTGGGCTGGCATGGTGAACCTAGATCTAGACTTTTTACGCAACATTTTGCCTTCCTTGTTTGCCTGCGTCTGCTCGGTAGCGCATCAGCTGATTTCATTTTCTGCTGGAGCGGTATGATTTCGGGCAGAGACGTACTTAGCCCTTCTCGTCAACTGGAGAGTGAGTACTTTTTCCTTTATTTTTTTTACTTGGTCGCCCTCGTTTCAGTACACATTACCTTTGTTATTTCAAGGGTAGTTGTCTCTGAAAAGGAAAACCCCAACTTTGCGGACACTCTGTATAGTTCATAATTGACGAGTTCTTGCCTTCATCCCTCAACGTCAACGCGGGTGGTCCCCAAGGATCGCTCTTGGCTCCGGCATTGTTCGCCTTACGTATCAACAACCCTCCTTCCTGTACTGTAATTCAGAGTGACAAACCGGCAAGAGACTTGAAGGTTTTCACTGCTTGGGGACGCAACAATCGTGTACAACTTAATGCTTCCAAAGCACAGTACTGTACCTTGACTAACAACAAGCGTCCTAGAGTTCAACCGGTTTTGGAGGTTGCTCATTTCAGCTGGTCAGAGTCAAGATCACCGAGGACTTGATCTGACACGGACACGCCTCGTCAATAGCTACAACTGCTGGGAAAAAGATAGGTTTTTAGTTAAGGGATTTTCTTTGCATGGCCAGGGTTGTCCGATTGATCGATGACTCTTCTCTACCAAACAGTCTCAATACCCTTTCACACCGACGGACCGTCGGCGATATACCTCTCTTCTTCCGCTATGCCAACTCCTTTGCTCCTCAGATTTCACCTCCATGTTGCAACTGCGCAATGCTCCTGCCAGACAGACCGGCCTGACTTCGACCTCCCATCATAACCGTGTCGAACTCCGTACATCCAGAACTGGCCGATACAACCGCTCCTTTGTCCCTAAGGTATCAAGATTGTGGAACAATCTACATGCGAAGGCTTTGCCCAGTTCTATCAACCATAGGGAGTTCAAAAATTGCATTAACAAAGTTTCTTTAAGCTCCTCGTAGCAGTCGCGGTGCCCTGGCATTTAGGCTTCTGCACCCAGAAGAAGAAAGTAAATGACGAACGAAAAAAATTATTTTATTTTATCGTCAGATATATTTACTACGATCACTTTGTCACTGTGTGGCCAACAAGTTTTTTGGCTCCACACAAAGGATAATCTAACAGGAATATTTCTTGTGGAAAAGTACGACTTGGCTATGAAACAGCAAAATAAAAATGTGACTGAACAACTGTGTTTATACAAAATATCTAATCCCAATCGCTTCCTACGGCAATGAATTTCGCGAGACGTATTTTGCTTGATCATTTGCCAACTTTTATCAAAGTATACAGACTACAAGGAGTAAAATCACTCGTGTAAAACCTTTTATGTTCAAATTCAAAGCGATCGCTGTAACCTATGGGATCCAGCGTATTTTTTAGTGTTACTAAACAATAGCTACGCTGAGAAAAAACATAGTTAAATCAATTAAAATTTTAATTAAGCCAATGAAAAAATTTAATTATCTAGGTGACACCTAACAAGTTTATTTATTTTAATTAAGCTCCAATTTCTGAAAATTTTAAGACTGTTTAATTAGAAGAAGTATACTGATTTGTTTAAAATTGATGAACTAATAAAATGAGTTTACCTTCTGCTATTTTATTCGGATTTAAAAGTATATTTGGATAATATTTGGAGTTTAAAAGAACTAATTGCATTTTACTGAATGATGTATATTATAACTGTGCTATGACACATCTAAGATTCCAAAAAATTTGTAAACCTTGATATCGATAACTGATTTTTTCGAATTAAAATAAAAACTTCTTTGTCTAAAACTCAGAAAGTATGGGAATGAATACTTAAATGAGGCTACTTGGTCATATGTAGAAAAATTATACTTTTATTTCTAATAATAAAACAGTATTGCACTCACCCGCGTTTAACGCATTTAAATATATAAATAAATTCGACATCTTGAAATAAACTAGGATATTTTCAAATACTACACCAACAGGAGGTTTCACTTCTTATATATACATCATACAATATAAAAGAAAAGCTCAACAAGTGTATGTTAAGCACATGATTGGAATAAATGCCATTCAATAAAGTAAATTTGGCTGCATAAATGAACTTCCAAAGTTCTTTCCACTCCATCACTTCAGTAGTGACGCCCCTATACAGTGTTTCATTGGAAACGAGAAATATTCTAACCATGGTTATGGTCACTAAGCGCCTTATGCTCAAATATTTCACTTAATCACCATAACCTACCCACTTCACCAACAACGGTAACGTTCGAGTGTGAATTATCAAGCTCCTCGCGAAAATCACAAATGAAACTGAGGATTTCGAAACGCGTCACCGGCAATACGTCTGTCGGATAATTCTCACGAAAAAAAGATTAATAATGTGTTGGGCGACCCCGCAGCTGAATACACTGCTGTATACGTCTAGGCATCGTCAAAATGAGATGATCGCTGTCTGGTTGTGGTACATCATTCCAACCGACAGATGTGCATCATCTGCCATTAATTGTCAAATTTTTTGCATCCGGAGAAATCTTTGGCAAGAAAGAAGGCAATAATATTACGGAAGCTGAACCCGAGGGGTACCCAGGCGACCCCTCTACTGCTTTGAGTGGAGTTGGCGCGGAACTCAGCGCTACTTTGGAACATATTCCAGAAAACCAAAACGAGATGACGCCAATGATGACATCGGGGATGACACCGATACTGGAGAAGGAAAACGAGAACCAGAGACTTTTGAAGGTAATTGCAGACCAAGCAGCCCAGATTCAGAGACTAACTGACTGTGTGGAGTCACTTAATGCCTAGGTTTTTAAGCTTACAAGTATCATTAATAAATCAGTTCCCAATGTTGATTCTTCCAAAACAGCAAAACGCAGACATAAGTCCCTCGAGTGACCTACATACTGAGATCGATGAGGGCACACAGGGTGATCTTTCCACACCTGTGCGACGTCGCAAAGTGAGACTGCGCAAAACAGAATTTCCTCCGCTACCGACGAAATCCCCAAATAAACATTCAGGCAAACTAAAACCGTATGTGTCTGTACCCTCTACCGCTTCTACTAGTTAGGCCAGGCAAAGACCTTTATCAGCATCTACACAGAGTGCTCCTCCTGTTATACCCCAAGTGCATTCTGATCCATTGGCTGGCTGCAACTCATCTTTCTTGCCATCCAGCGGATCTCTAAACACACAGGCCCAATCGCCTCGCCAGGGGCGTATTACTCCAATCGAGATGCGACAAAATGGCGCACCTTAAACTATTCCTTTGTAAGTCTTGGTATTCGTATTGAACGAGCAGACGCCGTTGACGCTGGGATACGTATCATCCCCAAAACCGGAGACGATTATCGCAGGATAATCCGTCTCTTCAAAGAGGAAAACATTCCTCATCACACTTTCCCTTTGCCCACTGAACGCAACACCCATGCGGTTATCAGAGGTATCCCAGCGTCAACCACCGAACACGAGGTCAAAGCTGAGCTAGACCATGGAAAAGCTCTGCTAAGTATCTCGGTGTCACTCTTGACAAGGGAATGACCTGGCAGAAGCACACTGAAGCGTTAAAAACTAAATTCCAAATCTCGTTTCGGCAACACTACCCTATGGTATGTAGAACATCAAAATTAAGTTTGATCAACAAAGTTCGGGTATACAAGATGACTATTAGACCAGCGATCACTTACGCAAGTGCGGCTTGGTATTTTCTCGCCAAAACGCATTTACGTAGACTGCAGGTTTTGCAGAACAGAACCTTGCGTACAATCACTAACGCCCCATGGTATGTTTCCAACGAGACCCTTCACAGAGACCTTGACATCCCTTACCTAAGGGACTACGTGAAATAACAAGCGCAGCTACGTTATAGACAAGCGGAATCACGTAACAACTCTTTGTTGAGTGAGTCAGTAGACTACAGAGTCTAGCAAGTTCGCAAGCACACAAGGCCGCGACTCGCACTGTGAACAAAATTAAATCGTGCGATTTTAGGTCCAACCAAAATTATAATTTTTCTTCAACAACCAATCCCAAAATTAATTTTAGGATCAATTTAAAATTGCCGAATACTAATTAGCAATGCCAAGGCACCCCTCAAATTGACGCACTTCTTTTTTCTTTGCTCTCCCTCCTTCCTTCCTTCCTTTCTTCTTCCCTTCTTTCTCTCTGACTTTGTTTGGTATCTGGGCAACCAGACCTGACAGACCTACCGACTTCAACCAAGAGCAAAGGTCCTACGGACCGCTCTGATAGACAATGACGAATAGAAGATCATTCCAACCAACTCGAAGTGCGTGGATTAGCTATGACAGACTCTGTGGCGGATGGGATGGTACAAAGTGGATAGTCTCTGCCCCAGCATATCCCACACATACCTGTATACTGTACACGCTTACTGTATGCTAACTACAATTAGTATAAATACCTGTGACTCCTGAAAAAAGGATAAAGACATTTAACAACAAAGGTGCCCAGCTGGAGGAAAGAAAATAGGGTGCTCGTGAACTTGTTGGTGATAATAGTGTTTCTTGCTGAGTTAGAATCTCCAACTATCTTGGTCGATATTTTTGACATTTTTTTAATGTTTTTTTTTTATACTCCAACTACCACGAAGACCTAAGGCCTAAGCACCCATTGGGTACCGTGGGGCTATAGGGGGATACATGGGAAAGGGGGGACGCCACACGGACTCTGGCGAGGGAACACGTGTGCATGCAACATGCACACATTATGGCTCCGCCTACGAGAACCGCCGGGTGGTACCTCCGCGTTCGACAGTCAGAGACCATCTACCATCTACGGACAATCACAACATCCATGGCCAAGAGAAACATTTCTCCTGGGACGGGACTCGAACCCGCACAGCGCACGGCGGCTGATCAGGAGACCGAAGAGTCTACTACTGCGGCCACCGCTGCTGCCTAAAACAAACACACATCCATGGCGAAGGCGAGATTCGAACTCGCGGCCCGGCCGGCCGGCTGATCAGTAGCACGGCACTCTGACCCACGCGGCCAACCGAGGTCCCGAAAATGTATGTCAAGAAAGTGACAAATCACACAAGAAGAGTCTATAGTGTATCGATGTAGTACCAGGAAATAGCCAAGTATAAAAGTGTGAGTCATGAGCCAAGGTACACGAAATAAAAGCAAGAAGAACTCGGAAGAAGGAGAAAATATTGATAAAAGTGGTAATACCAACGAAAAGGTAATAAATGATATTATAAAAGTCAACGAACAGCTTATCATATCAAAAGATGAAGTACTCATAATTAAAGCAAAAGATATTATAATTAAGGACGTATATGAAAAAAATCACTTACTCTACGAGAAAATTGAAATAATATGCAAAAATTATGGCGAAACAACTCAAACGGTCAAATCAGTAGAACAAGTTGATACTAATATTACAACTAACGAAACAAAGTGAGACCACAGTACAGTTCAGTGGTGAAAAACGGAAACTCAGCGTTATTATCAAACCTAAAGAGATACAGCAAGCTCTACAAACGAAAAATGACGTTTTGAAAAGCCCGCCGAGTTAAATGTGAAGGTAACCGGAGTTAGGCAATCTGACAATGGTACCCAGAAAATCACATGTGCGGATAAAAATGGAGTCCAAAAGATAAACGATGTAGTCATCAAGGAACTGGGCAGTCCATACAGTGCAAGAGTTGAAAGCAATCGCCAAAATCTTAAAGTGAAAGTTGTGGGGATTGAACAAATGATCGATAATGAAAACCTTATCGAAGTGATCAAACAACAAAATATTTCTGTAGAAGAAGATGCTTATTTAAAAGTTCTTAAATTGAAACAGATGAGGACAAGGTTCTTTGCTATCATAGAATGTGACCTGAAGACATCTTACAATATTCTAGAAAATGGTATATTGTGCATTAATTTAACAATATGTTCTATTTATGAACACATCAATGTATTGAGGTGCTATAACTGCAGTGGCTACAACCATACAGCCAATAAATGTAACAGTGACACGTTCTGTTTGAAATGCGGACAGAAGCATCATAAAGCTGATACATGTGTAAACTGTAAAGTGTCTTGGCCGAATTGTCTGGAATTTAACAAAAAAATTAAGTTGAATCTTAGTATTGATCACTCTGCTTTCGATAAAATTAATTGTTCAGTTATGAAGAAGAAGATTGAAACACCCAGGAACAACATCAACTATTCTATATAGCAATCAAGAAGCAATCTAGAAGTTACGCCAAATAATACCATTCCACTTAACTGCGGAGGCTTTACAAAACAGAACAACGGTTAAATGTATCCCATGTTAATGTTAGGTTACTAATCTCAGGCCTCGATATATTTGCAGACTCCATACTAGAACAAGATTTCCCCATCATAGCGTTAACTGACACTTAGTTCTCTTCAGACTTTTCCTCTGATTTGATTTATCTGCCCAACTACCAGCTTATTAGAAACGATAGAGAAGGAAGAGGTGGTGGTCTATGTTTTTATATCCAGTCTAGCATAAAGTACAGAGTCTTCGGAATATTTCTTCAAATCGCGTTGAAGATCTCTGGTTGTCACTAAAATTCGAGAGCAAGAGTAGGTGTTATGTACCGTCTGCCGTCCAGTCGACAGAGCATTCTATCTGATTTAGAAAATATTCTTGCCTTTATATACGTCACACATGATGAGGCGATACTATTGGGTGATATCAACATCGACCTCACCGATGAGCATGCTGGTCATAGCAAACAATTAATATATTAAAATAATACACTCACTGTTTACGAGTGTGGAACTCTAGACAAGCCAGAAGTCACTGATCACAGATTGTGCTTCTGTGGGTTGGAAATTGAAACTCCACAATACACACCTGCAATATTTTAATGCAGAGACTTCTCGCATATCGATCCCGTTGAGTTTGCAAACGATGCTGCTTCTGTGGAATGGAGCTATATAGATGGTTTGCCAAGTCTTAATAGCAATGTTCTCCACATTACCGAAACTATTATTATGCTCTACAATATACATGCCCCATTGAAAAGAACTACAGACCTTATGTGACACATACAACCAAGTAAATAATAAATTTGAAGCGAAAAGCATACAACAAGTTCAGAGGAACCAGAAATGAAGAACATCATGCATATTATAATGATCTAAGAAATTATTTAGGAATAGCTTTGAAGAATGAAAAAACTGCTTACATAAAATTCCAGCTTAATAAGTAGTTTAATAATCCTAAACAGATGTGGAATAATTTCTCCAGGTGGAATATACACACAAAATCCAGTAAACATATATTACGAGTACAGGACATTGAAGATGCTGAAGGCATCAATAATCACTTTATTAAATATGTACCAAATCTACAACCAGATGACTTATTTCTTGACACATTGTCAGGACAAAAAAATTCTATAGTATGCAAGTCTTCATTTCATCATGTTGCATCAGACCAAGTTGAACAAAAACTGAAAGAAGTGAAGTCAAATGCTGCGGTTGCTGATGGTATCGCTACGTTGAGAAACGTGTTCTCTTTTTGTAAAAATTAGCTAACCAATATCATCAACCAACCACTGAGTACAGGGGAAGTGCCATCATTATGGGAAAAGAAAGTCATAACACCACTTGCAAAACTTAATAGTATCATCGATTTTGAGGACCTCAGACCTATAAGCTCTTTACCTTCAATGTCCAAACTGTTAGAGAAAATCACAGATGATGAACTTCGTGAGTATCTAGAAATCAACAAAGTGCTGCCTGACACCCCCCCCGTTCCAGTGATATAGTTAAATTGTAGACTATGGCATGATAACGCTACTAGTCATGTTAGACTTCGGCAAGGCATTTGACATGGTGAACCACAGTTTTGTGTGAAAAACTGTATCATCGTGGTGTGACCGGAAATGCCATGCTGTGGTCTAGTAATTACTTATCTGATAGATCTCAATGTGTAAAATTGCGTGGTAAAGTGTCTACTTTACGAGCTTTGAATTCGTGTGGTCCACAAGGAAGCGTCTTAGGCCCTATTTTATTTACTTTTTATACTTTAGATTTGATAAAACATAATATACATCATCTGACTGCAATGTATATTTGTTTGCAGATGATGTACAAGTTTACAAACCATGTCAACCAACCGATGTAAATTCTTTAATATTAGAACTTAATAAAAATTTAGACATAATTGAACAGTACTCAAAAAATCATTGTTTGAAGTATGTTGTGTTGCTTCTAGACTAGCGACTCTGAAGTGTAAACAAGTAATAAATAGAAATATTTTTTTAGAAGGTATTAACATTGAATTTGTTGAAGAAACCAAAAATTTGGGAATAGTACTTGATAAGAATTTAAGTTTTGAAAGTCACATTATAAATAAGCTCAGAATAGGTTATTATAAATACAAATCGCCATGGAGATACCTGTAAGTAAATATTAACCAGTGTTATCAAACTAAAACTTCTTAATGCATTAATCCTCATACATTTAGATTATTTCAGTGCTGTGCTTTCTCACTGAGGAAATGCAACAAAACATTCAAGTTTTACAAAACCATTGTATGAGGTTTTGTTTCAATGAGATAAACAGACGCGAACACAATACTGGGTATTATGTAAAGGAAAATCTTTTAAAGTTCAAATATCGCTCGTTACTTCTTTATGATGTTCTACTATTCAGGGTTTTAGAATATAAATCTCCGAAATATCTTTTTGACGCTTTAGAGAAAAGATCTTCTCTCCATCGACTGTTCCTCCGTAATGAATATTGTTATAATGTACCAGCCCACACTGCCTCAAAATTTAAAAAATGTTTCTATTGCATACCTAACATGAATGATTATCCATTTTTTAAAAACCAACGTCCATTCACAGCTTCAAAAGAATGCTAGGACAGTTACAGTTTAATGAATCTACAGGTGGTTGAATAGATCTCATTATTAATATTATTATATTTTAAAGTTCGTGATATAGTAGTGCACTTAATAAATTTACCTTAGCTATTCAGACGGGGGTGAAAAATGGCTATGCCAATCGCCATCCCTTTGTAGTATTATTTTTTTTGTGTTATATTATTTGCTCGTATTTTGATTCTATTATTATTATTATTATTATCATTATTATTATTATTATTATTATTATTATTCCCGTTTTCACACAGACATGCTATACTGTGGTGCATTTGGTGAAAACACCGAGCGCACACCGTGCACCTAGGGTGTATCCACATACTAGATTACTCTTCTCACTATATGGATGGTGCTCAACACAACTGTTTTCTGTAACGCGAGAAGGTTGTGTTTCCCTGGAACGTATTCAATGGCTTCGCACGTTTTATGAGATACAAGTCCAGTGGCTCCTATCACTACTGGTATTATGTACGTCTTCATATTCCACAATCTTTGCGTCTCAATTTAGAGGTCTTTGTACTTTAGCCGTTTTTCAGCCTCCTTCTTTGTGATATTGTAGTCCGATGGGATAGCTACATCAATCACTAAACACCTTTTAAGTTTCATATCTTTGACTATAATATCAGGCTTGTTAGCGTTGATGGATCTATCTGTATGCACCTGCGTCTCCCATATAATTGTAACATCGGGATGGTCTACAACTGGGCTTGGACGGTGTTCATACCACCTGGGCGCGACTGTTATTGATATGAGGGTCTTTACATATATTCCAGTGTAGATGTGCTGCAACTACTCGTATATTATGCCAATTTAAATATTCTCTTTCTGCCAAGATAGGACAGCCCGAGACTACGTGATGGATGGTTTCTTGATGTATCCGGCAAAGTCTACATATTGGGTCTTTGCTGGATTTTAATACCATCGCTTTCATTTAGTTTGTTGCTATCGCTTGTTCCTTGCAGGCTGTTATAAGTGCCTCAGTTTCCGCTTTCAGACCGGCTTCAGTGAGCCACTTCCGATTGGTGTTCATTTACAGGTTCTTTTCCTGCTTCCCTAGCGATTTGTCCATGCATAGCCTTCGCAGCCCACTTCTTTCTCTGCTCATCTTTTATTTCCTGTTGCAGTTTTTTTTATGTCTCTTACTTTTTTTGTTTCCGGTTCATAGTTGTTGCCGTCCTCATCATCATCATACCGGTATTGACTTTCACTTCTTGTTTGGTTCAGTGTTTGTCTGTACACCATACCTAGGTACTTGTAGTTCTTCTATTGTACTCACTCTTTAGCATTGT